GCCGATGCTCATGTCATTGATAATGTCTATTTTAAATACCTATGGTATTGATCACTGTAGTCCACCAAAATTCAATTTCTTGTTATTCAACAGTACATATCTCGAGGCTATAGGCAATAATGATGTACTTGATAAACGTTTAAATTCATTTGTGCAGATCCTTGCAGCTTACCGAAAGATACCGGTAGTTGCAAACTATTCAATTTTTTTAAATATTGACAATTTTTATAAAATATATCTTAAAGATACGGCTTTGTTCATTAAAAACAAAGACAAGTTCAGTTTTTTTTACAAAGGTGAAAGGAAGTACATTCATGAAATTTACGACAACATACGTGCAATTACTTTGGACCCTTCCCATGTGTTCAAATTCTATGATATATATTTCAAATTCATTCTTTGTTCTATATTTTACAAAGTGTGGGTTTTCGCTAATTACTCAGTCAAAGAAAGTCAGTCAAAATCGAATGTATTGCGGTTTGATGATTGTGATGACTTTAACCATCGTTATAATATGTTTCTTAATATTCAAAATTTTCCCTCAAATTTTTCGATACTTGTGTTTAATGTTGATCGATTTTCTACGATGGTATATAAACTATGTTATATAAAAGCAGAGACAACCGAAAATAAAAACAAAAAAAATAAGTCTAAAGATAAAATACCACAGTTCAAAGATTCTAGTACAGTAATCGATGCAGATAAGATGTATCTTAAAATTTACAAATTAAAGAACAATATAATTAAGCAATTCGAAGAATTTGGTATGTTCATAACAAACATATTAGAAGAGATTCCTAAAACGCCGTTATCCATAAAGGACAAAGTCAAACAAACTCTTCTTAGAAAACCCAAGAAAACAGAATTGATAGAAAAAATTTTCGGAGATATGACTGAGAATACCTGCGAACTAGTCAAGGCTGCTAACAATATGCTCTCAGAACTCATTATCAATATTTAATTGAAGGTAACAGGTCAATTTTGAATATGCATTATTTATGAAAAACTTGTATACCAAATAATACATTCAGAATCGTAAAACAATACTTTTCAAAAACAATAATTTTTACCTTTCGCGGTTACAATTATTTTTCTTTCTCTACTCCCCATATAGTTGTAATATACAAATACGAATACATATTTTATTATTTAAAGCGTTATTATAATATATTACCATTACATACAATATAGGAGATTGACTGTTTACGTTAAAAATTAAAATATACATGTAAGTTCTAGAGCTACGATTTTGGTGATTTTTGCATTTTTTCTTTAAGTGCTTTACAGCATTTTTGCGTATTTTTTAATTCATTAAAATCCCAGCTCTATGATATGACCAACCAATGGCATTGTTATAGTCACTGTTCACAACTATTTAAATAATTCTTTAGTATACTTATAAAACTCAATATATGGATTCACTTATGCACAAAAATACAAAAAATAAGCTCAAAAAAAATATTTAATATGAATTTCAGTACTTAAATTATACAATTAATATGAAAAAGAAAAATTGAAAAATGAAAAAATGAAAAATTAACTACTGTAGTTTTCTACTTTATTTTCTTCTCATTCACCTTAAAAAAAATGTTTCTAAATATACCTATACATGTATGCTCTTAATTTGTCAAAGACCAACATTTTAAACTTAAAATTGTTCAAAGGATGTTCTTCTTTGTCTAAACTATAATTTTCTTAAATCCGAAAATGCCAAATTTTGTTCTTATTTTTTGTAACACATGCTCAAATATGCATTTCTATGCAATGACGACAAATTATGCAAAAATATTCAAAATAGTATTTCGAGTGCACCTAAATAATTTTTTTTACATAATATAATATCTAAACATCACTCACACTGATTTTCTTCCTCGATAAATATGAAATAGCTAGAAGTCCTCAGCTCTACTAATAACTAATTTCTATTATAGTTTTAAGTAAATCGTAATTTTTTAATTATTAAAATATACATAATATGTTTAAAACAAATGAAACAAAAAATAATAGCAACCAAAATGGACACAAATGTATTAATTGTTTGTTTGCAAATTAAATCAATAAATAAAAAAAAATAAATAAAATAAAACATAAACGAAGATAAAAAAAATATTTAATTTATGAATAATTATTATAAATATATTATTATTATTGCTATATTATTTAAAACTGGCTTATATTATAATTTATTTTCTTAAGTAACACTAATACACATTTTATATTTAAAGTTATATACATTCTATTCGTAATATATAATAATATAATATGTATTTGTGTGCATACGTATTCGTCACTGGATATTGTCTCTTACACCCATAGATATCATACAGTAGCAGCCACTGAAAAATAAAAGGGGGTACTATATTGAATCACTTACCTCTATATTGGCTAATATTGAAAATATTGGTCATTTTTTATGTCTGCAGTCTGCACTTTGGTGGATAACATTTTGAGATGTGCTCTAGTATACAAATATAATCATTCTTTCGTTTAAATTATATTGTAAATGAAACTATGCAAAAAAAAGATATTATAATATATATTTCAAACTAAAGTTAGTTAGGTACATCATTTGTTCAAATAATCATTCGTTTGATAGATGCCTATAGAGTATTTTTGAAAGTTCAAGTTATACCTAGCCTAAACAATAATACTACAATAGTATAGTACATTCTCATGGTGAATTAGTATTTTGGAATTTTAAAAACTTTATTTTCTTTATTTTTAATGATGTCAGGTTCTTATTTATTATTCACATCAAACGCTTTCTATATCTAAAACTAACACAATCCATTGTTAATTATGGTATTTGTATCTGGGTTCAAGCATATGATTCACATACATATCGGCTTAAAATCACACTTAATAGATTAACTAAATTTTTACTATTGAGACCTATGTATTTTAGTAATGATTTTGCTTATTTATAACTAATAACTAAAGACCGGATTTATATTCTCTTAAAATACCCAAAATATGATGCTAATATTCTCTAAAAAAACCTTCAAATATTCTCATTATATTCTCTCAAAAATTTAAAAATATGCAAAAATAATCAAAAAACATCATTATATGCTTTAATATGCATTTATTTTTTAAAATTTTATTTTCAACTATATTTTTATAGTGAGATATTAATTAGGTATTAAGAGTTGCATATTATACCTAATGGAATAGTATTGCACTTTAGCAAGAGTAAGAAGTTGGAATATAATATAAATATAACAGTATAGGTAAAATTAAAACACAAAAACAAAATTTTGATGTTTGAATAATTGATAAACTTATAAGTTGATCTTATCAGTAGATATACATAGATAAACCTTGATAATACTGCGTGTTTTATTTTTATCAAAATGAAAAAAATAAATAAATTGTAAATGGTCGAAAAAAAATTTTCAGAGTACCGTAATATTAAAATTAATAAAAATAAATACAAATTTTTGCTCACAATTTACGAAATATTCCAAAATATGCAAAAAAAACTTTTTTCTACGCATTCAGAATTGAACGAATCGTCCACATTTTTTACTCTCATAAGACTGCATAGACCCAGTGATATGTAAAAACATATAAATCCGGTCTTTATTTATAACTTAATGCTTCATACTTTCAAAATGTATGTTATAGAAATATCATTCTAAACTTTAGAACTCACTTATTTAAATTTGTGATAAAACGTGTTAATTTATATAGGTTTTGTGATTATACTGTTTGCTAAAAATGCTTTTCTTTTTTTCTATTATTTTTACTCTTATGTAAATCTTATACCTAATAATTTGCTTATATTTTTTTTACCATCTTGTATTGTACTAAAACTTTTATACACCCCAAAATAAGTTTATGCTTAAAGCCTAAAGGGGAGTTGCAAACATGTGTCTTACATATTTCTTCTAATATATTATTGAAATGTATATTGTTTTTGCTAAATAAAATTATTATTATTATTATTATTATTATTATTTATTATATTCACCAAAGAAATAGTTTAATGAATAATATGAATACCTAATCAAAATTTGTTTAAAATAATTAAATTTATTTATATAAAAAAATAAATATCTATTTATAAATGAAAATCCAAAACATTAATTAATATTTTTACTTGAATATTGGAACTTAATTATGCTAGTATAATAATTATTTATTATTTTAATTATAAGTATTAAAGTTATAAATCGGTTAGTTGGCAACACCGATCGGCGATCGAGAACTTACATACTAATAATAACAATTTTCTTACAAACCATGAAAATATCATTTTATATGGGCCACAGACATTGATCTAATTTTGCTTTACCTTATAGTCCATATAAGTATTTTGTTTTTTTGATCATGGTTGGCATAAGTTTGAGTTTAATATTTGAACGAAATTTATATTTTATTCTTCATCAGTCATCACTAACGTTTTTATGGATTTATCGATACCTATGCAAAAAACAAAATCAAACACTTTGATAACACAGCTGTTCAACTTCTGAACAGACTGTAATTTGTCTTTTAAATAATATAAAAACATATTCTTTTTTATAAACCTAATACAACGATTGAACAAATTCATATACGCAGTAGTTAGTTTGAACTTAATATTGTATACCCAATAGCTGTCGTCCGCCCGGTTGAACCTCTTCAGGTAGCTCCGGATGCATCCGTGACCCGAAAGCACCTGTGTCAGTCGGAAAGTCAGGGTTAGCGGTGGCGGAAAATTAGAACGAAATCATATTTCTGATTGAGCCGTCTCTGTGCTATATGTATAGCCGTTTTTTTCGTTAATCGTTACCTATGTCATGACTTATGGATGTTATGAATACACTATAATACAGTTTACACATATTATCTACATCCATGAAAGCAATTGTTGACGTTTGATGTAAGATTTAACTGATTGCATTACAGTAATCTTGCAAAAAAAAATGTAAGTATAACTTATAATATTACCTAAATATGAAAATTTTTTTATTTCAGAAAAAAATATTATGTGTATTTATTCAATTGTTTCAGAAATGGATGATACAGTATTAAAGAAATTTGAAATTACTGAAGAGGAGTTGGCCAAAATGAAGGTTTTTGATAACGGTTAGGTTTTCATCAATCAGTTTAAATTTTAAATTTTTATTATTAAAGAATGAAAACAATTTATTTTTCTATTATACATGTAACGTCGGTGTCTATAAATTGAGTAAAAAAAATAAATAAAAAATATTGAATATAACAAAAGTTATCGTTAGTGAACCTTAAAGTAGTTAAACGTCTATTCACAAACATCTTTTTTTTTTTAGTTTTACATTTTTACGATGCCCCTCTGATTTAAGGTTTTCTTTTTATTGAAATTAAATAATTTCAAATCAATCTGTGTATACTAAAAAAAATATGGAATATGTACCAAAGTTTTTTTGTTTACACAAATAAATAACAAAACTAAAGTGACACGACAAATAACCTACATCTGGCTGATACTACTTTTTTTTTTTTAAAACAATTATTATTCTTAATTCTACATTTTTAAAAAATATTTTTTATTAAAAATGCAAATTTTTAAATAGTAAAATAGGTAGTTTTAAATTATAATACATTTGTCGTGTGAGAACATTAAATTTGTTTCTCTCAGATACCAGGAGTATATGGGTACGCATGTACACACAAGCAGTGTTTGGATGACCGGCAGCGTCCTAGATTTTCTGAGATATATGTTTTGTATAATGTATAATTCTCATTTTATATCAAAAAACTATCAGCTTGTGTGTGTGTGAAAAGACCAACTAATGGACATTAATTTAATACTAAATTTTCAAAGGCAATAAACACATTAGTTATCAATAATTTTAGTAGAATATGATCAAATTTCCGTAATGCAAATGTTTGCAGAATTTGGGTAAGGTCATAACACTCATAACTAATAAAAAAATATCAATACTTAACATGTCCACAACCCTAGATAAATTAATAAAAAATTAATGATCATTGAACATATTTTTACATTAACTACTCTAGATTAGAACATTTTTAGGGCTATGGATGCTTTAAAAAATAATTCATTTTTATACTTATTTTTGTAAATAGGTTAATTTTTAAACAATATTTTATGAAATAAAACTATTTTTACATTGCATGAAAATGACATACTCATATTAAAGAAATGTTAAATTAGCCAATTTAGGTTAATAAAAACTCCATTAGCCCTACTTATGGAAAATAGTAAATCAATAACTTAACCTAATTATTTAAACATAAAATTAATAATTATCAATTTTATCATCAACAAATTTTACAAATGGAGACGTAGTTTGTCTTGAATCAATTTAAAATGTTTAATATATTTCATTCCATATTAACTTAAAAAGTTATTAGATGTACTAATGTACTATGTGACTGTGACCAACCAAAAATAACAATTTGCATTTGTTCATCCAATCTAGTTATAGATATTTGAATTAAAAGTTAATACAACTAAATTCAATTGAAATTTGAATGAAAACAAAATTAATTTCCTAAAAAAAAATACGATAAACATCAAATTATTTATAACATTTGATTAATTGTATAAAAAAATAATATTCGTACTTACATAGTTAATTGTTTAGTCTGTTGAATATTTTATTCTATATTAATTTATGAAGTCATCAGATTGGTATCAGTAGCAAGTATCATAGGTACCAAAAGGTATGCAATATGAATATGCATTAATTTCTGGTCAAATTCAACTGTCTTGTGTCTAGTCATATTATAGTTCACTGTTAATTTTGCTTAATTATACCAATTCTACTAATTACCACTGAAAATAAAATTAACATTTTTAATCATAGTTATTATTTTTTTTATCAATAATATAAATCATTTATGAAAAAAAAAAAAAAATCCAATATATTAATTTTAGATTAAACGTACCAATAAAGTAAACGTACAAATAAAGCTGTCGGGAAAGTATGAAATCTAATACTCATACATAATAATGCTGATCGGATAGAAGTGCATAATATGCATATTTTTAATTATTAGGTAACTAAAATACAACATTAAAACATTATCAAAAACTATACATTGGTTTAAATTTATATTTTGAATAATACAAATAATTTAGTATTTACTTAAAATGTTTTTTGTGTTTAGACGTCCAATGAATAATAATTAACGTTCGATATTTGAGTATTTGACAATGGGAAACTAACATTAACGATTAATCAATAACCACATGTTTTCAAATTTCAGACACCTTTTTCTGTTTAGTGTTTACAGTTTCTCGTTTATCTACAAACGTAATATACCAAGAATACCAAGAATCAGTAACCAGTGTTATATTATGTAACCATGATTGCAAATAATTGTAAAATGTTATTATCATACTTTAAATATGATACTGCTGTTGCAGGCTTGACGTTATTCACTCGGTGCTGTGAGTATGGGGAGAAGCTGATAGGAGGGTACAAATCGTGTGACCTTTGTACTTATTCCTTATAAGTTATTGTGAATTATGTCTATTATGACCGTTTGCATCATTAAATTGAGATATAATTTTGTATTGACTTCTGGTCTTTACTGTTGGGTATTATTTATTACTTTTGGTTTTGGTGAATTATCCGGAAGCAGAAAGTTGAATGAATATTTGAACGTTTATAGGTCACAAACGAATTACTCAAATTAAATATTGTAAACGCTAAAACTAATTTTTTCATTATGTTTATAAATTGGGTATTTTGATTTTTTTCAAAAAAATTTAAAGCAAATTTAAATTTTCTTATTTTCTGTACAAGAAATAAAAAATAAAAAAGTTAATATTATACGTGTAGTAGAAACGTCTATAAATTATATGAAAAAAAAAAAAATTAAGAAATATTGCTTAGAATACAAGTTATTTCATTTGTCATATCTTTCTGTTACACCCTGCATTTATACATAATATAGTATTCCAAATTTCAAATATATTTTTCAAAGACCATTATTCTCGATGGTTTGGAAGAGTAGTTCCCATAAGTACTTACTTTTATTGAAAAAATTCAGAAACAGTTCCCTACTGTGAATACCACGAGAAACATAAATGTTAAATGAATTCTAATTATTATCATTGATAATCAAATTTCATAATTTTATTGTACAAAATACGATATATAGTATAAGCATTCTAAGCATACGCAGCCAACCCAACAGTAATACGTTTTTATAATTATAATAAATGATAAAAAGTATTTTTAAAACAGAACAATTTATTATTTTCACAATGAATATTGAAACATTGTAATTAATGAGATGCAAAGTGCTACTTATGTTACTTGTTAGCGAACTTCACAAATGTAAGGTTTTATTATTAAGTCGGAGACCGGGGTATGCGTATTGAGACGTTTGGGGGTATTTGGTTATAGTTGCAGACTTGCAGTGTAAGCTACAAATCGTGACAAGCATATTTATAAGACTCAATTTAAAATTGACAAAAAATAAAATAATTCAATCTGATGAGCGGTTGCAGTTGCCGATGAAAATTTTGTTTTCAGTTATGAAACCGTAATAGAACCTTTAAACAAAAATTAAAAACGATAATGTCAAGATATCCACATGGTACAATGCCATTGGTTTGTTACAATTAACGTTAGGTACAGCATTTGTTCAAATATACATTCGTTAGATAGATGCCTAAAAGATATTTTTTAAAGCTTATGTTATACCTAGCCTAGCCCACAATAATATAATAGTATAAAACATTTTCATGGTGAATTAGTATTTTAAAATTTAAAAACTATATTCACCGAAGAAATAGTTTTATAAGGATATGAATACCTAATCAAAATGGGTTTAAAATAAGTAAATTTATTTATAAAATAAAATCAAAAACATTAATTAATATTTTTACTTGAATATTGAAACTCAATTATGCTGGTATGATAAGTATTTATTATTATAATTAGGTATTAAAGTTGTAATCAGTTGGTTGGCGATTAGTAACACCGATCGAAAACTTACATATGAATAATAAAAATTGGCTAGACAAGCAATATTTTATAATTTCATATTGGCCAACTGCTAAGAATCGAGCAGAACTGGCAAGAGCGAAGAGGACCGTTGCACTCCGCACAATACGTGCTTGCAGGACACTCTCGGCCGACGCCTCGTCAGTATTGGCCTCAATGCTACCTGCAGACCTGCTAGCAACAGAAAGGGCTAGAGTTCGGGTTCCCATGGACGACCAGACTGACGTCGCCCCGAGCACCGTGAAAAAACAAGAGAGAATAATCAGCATTGCAGCTTGGCAAGCTCGGTGGGCAGGGCAATACAGTTCTCCTACACATTGATAAGAAACTACTAGGGGGAAATTAAAATGTTAGATACCAACTGTCTTTTTTCAGAAAATTGATATCAAGGAATTTAGTATTATACAACTACACCCACTGTACTTATAATACAAGTTACAACAATTAAAATAGTAAATACCAAATAATAATTTATATTTAGAATATTTAACTTTTTATTTTTTTATTGAGTTTCTAAAATCAACTAGTTATATCACATTATGGACCACAATTACGCGGCTTATGAAGTTGAAGCAGACGGTAATTTATATTTTTTCAGTTAAGATAGTAAAACTAAATTATTATTATTTATTTATTTTGAAAAATACAGTCTGTAATTAATGTTTACATTAGACAATATAAGACAAAAAATAATTTTTATACCCTTTCAAAAGCTAAAGGTAACATTTTTGCATAATTGTGTCCCCTTATTAATTGGAATTTGTTGTCCAACTGTCGTATTATATATTTGAAGGTATTTGAATTAGTGTTACCTTCAACCTAAGTAGGTATCTATGTAATATAATGCATAACAATTATTATTATAATATATTTAACATGGCTAAAATTAATAAACTATAAACTTTTATTTAGCTATGTATCTAACTACCATTATTCATTTTTCAGTTCATTATGAAAATGCAATTATTTTAGAACAGGAAGCCATATCAACATATACAACATTGCCTGGTGTTCGACTTAAGTCGTTAGTCTATATGGATAATTTAGGTTATAGACATTATAAAAATAACAGTCGTAGCAATAAAATGTGAGTGTAGCAATATGTCAGAAATTAATATTTTATTATCTGTTTATATTTTGAAATATTTAGTTATTAGGTATGTGAAAACTTAAAAAATAGAACTGAATTTTGTCCAACCACTGCGATCATAAGTGTGGACATAAATGAAAATTGGATTAGGACTAATAGGAACCATAACCATTATCCACCAGTAGTTGATATTCCAATGGTCCATTTAAGGAAAAGTATTGGATTATAGCAGGAACAAGTACTTCAAGAACAACAAATTCAATAAGCAATATTTATAATAATGAAATAATTACGTAAGTTAGGTTTGGTTAGTAGGTAACCTTTTTCATAGAAAATATAGCTATATTTTTAAATATTATAGAAATCCAGATGGTGCAAGGAATTATACATTTCTCCAATCCCAAGCATGTGTACAAAGAATGCGTCATTGTCGACGTCCACCAAACCCAGACACAATTGAAGAGTTGGCAGGTATTCTGAATGAACATATGGCATATGCATCAACCTTGCAGCATCCACCTTCACGGTGACAGCAGATAGGACAAAATTATCTAATAAATATTTTAGCATTTCATTAAATAAATTATTTGTATTTAGGTTTTTTCAACAACTATTTGAAGCTGAGGGAGAAACTGTTGGATTAGTATTTTTTAATTTAGATGCCATCGGAAAATATAAAAATGAGCTTTTATCTGTCAGAGTTGCAGGAATTGATGGAACCTTTAAAACGGTACCAAAACGTCCTTCTCAGTTTACTAATGGTTGCCTTTTGACCTTTCATGTACTTTTTTATAATGTTGTAAGTTAATGCATTTAAATAAATTGTTTTGTTCTTTTAATGCATAGTGTAGGTTAATTATTTTTTACTTTAAATTAATAATTGATGTTTAATTAACTTTTTGTAATAATATGTCATATACATTTTCTACTGTTTAGTCTTTTCCAATGGTATATGCTCTCACATCAAAAATGAGGAAAGCTACATATGAATCGTTCTTCCATATTGTTTTGAGAATTTTGCCATTAAATTACGCTCAACTGACTATAGTTACAGACTATGAAAGAGGCTTGATGAATGCTGTAAGAAGAATTTTTAACGAAAGCAATCTGCAGGGTTGTTGGTTTCACTTCTGCCTGCAAGTTCTTCCACAGTTTTCAAGTTTTCATGCATTCTGGTTTTATAATAAATGTATTATTACAGGATGTTATTCGATACTGCCAAAGAACCTTAAGTAGTGTTTTTCACTTGTTTCAAAATAGTCCAGAAGCCAATCGAGTATTAAAAATGGTAATGTAAATATGTAATAAGTAGAGTTCGGGTTTACTTAAATATTGTTTACAACCATTACTGTGGACAACTGTCAAATATTCTAGAACACTTAAAATATACATAAGAGAGCTTACTCCTATTAAGCTGCATAGTACACTAGATACAAATATGTAAAATCATAAAGATCCTACCTATAGTAATAAGTTATCTAGTTACTCATTCTAGACACTATATTATTATTTGAAATTTCATAATTGGGATGTTTATTAACTTTCAGGTATTGGCATTACCTCATCTAACAGCAGAAGAACACCCTTCCACATTTTTTACACTCATAAGACTGCATAGACCCTGCAGCGATATGTAAAAACCTATAAATCCGGTATTTAAGCTAATAACATACAACACAACCGTTGACTAATACAATATATAATACTAATTACACTGGCGATTCACACCTTCAAATAATAATACACTAATAACTTATTATCGTGTTATTATTAATGATTTTAATAAATATAAAATGCCAAATATAATAATTTATTACTTTTAGGAAATAAAATTCAAAAATTATAATATTGTGAAAATATGTTACCTAAAATAAATATTATAAAGACTGCTCTAAATTTACTCGATTAAATTCAAATCCATCTCCATATTACATTATTGCATATGTGTCAATAATAATATTATAATAAATGACAACCGTCATAGATAGGGCCAGGAATCCAAAGTAGTGATAAAAATCAAACTTGTATCTATTATTATTATGTATTATTTTTATTGTTTTTATTTTATCAAAGTTTAGACTTTATATTATAAGTATGTACCTAGAATAAATTGTATAAAATATAGTTGTGTCAAATATTGAACTAATTATTTTATTTTATTATATTTTTATTGAATAGAGATGCAGATCGTGAAGTACAGCTCAAAAATCGAGGGATAGTACTTTCTATTTCAACATTACAATTTTTATCCAAACACTTAATGTGTAAAAATAAAAACATTGGCATATTCTTCAATGTTCTTCTTCAGATTTATAAAGCCAGCAATGAAACAGGCGTTTAGTGGATATTCAGTGGATAACATTTTGCGATGTTCTCTAGTATAAATATACAATCATTTTTGCGTTTATATTATATTGTAAATGAAACTATGCAAAAAATAGGTATTATAATAATATATACATAATATAGATAATATATATATATATATATGTATATATACATTATAAAGTATTCCAAATTTCAAATATATTTTTCAAAGACCATTATTCTCGATGGTTTAGAAGAGTAGTTCCCATAAGTACTTACTTTTATTGAAAAAATTCAGGAACAGTTCATTACTGTGAATACCACGAGAAACATAAATGTAAAATGAATTCTAATTATTATCATTGATAATCAAATTTCATAATTTTATTGTACAAAATACAATATATCGTATAAGCATTCTAAGCATACGCAGCCAACCCAACAGTAATACGTTTTTATAATTATAATAAATGATAAAAAGTATTTTTAAAACAGAACAATTTATTATTTTCACAATGAATATTGTAACATTGTAATTAATGAGATCCAAAGTGCTACTAATGTTACTTGTTAGCGAACTTCACAAATGTAAAGTTTTATTATTGAGTCGGAGACCGGGGTATGCGTATTAAGACGTTTGAGGTATTTGGTTATAGTTGCAGACTTGCAGTGTAAGCCGAAAATCGTGACAAACATAAAATAAGACTCAATTTAAAATTGACAAAAAATAAAATAATTCAATCTTATGAGCGGTTGCAGTTGCCGATGAAAATTTTGTTTTCAGTTATGAAACCGTAATAGAACCTTTAAACAAAAATTAAAAACGATATTGTCAATGCCATTGGTTTGTTAAAATTAATGTTAGTTACAGCATTTGTTCAAATATACATTCGTTGATAGATGCCTTAAAGATATTTTTTAAAGGTTATGTTATACCTAGCCTAGCCCACAATAATATAATAGTATAAAACATTTTCATGGAGAATTAGTATTTTAGAATTTAAAACTATATTCAACGAAGAAATAGTTTTATAAGGATATGAATAACTAATCAAAATGGGTTTCAATAAGTAAATTTATTTATAAAATAAAATCAAAAACATCAATTAATATTTTTACTTGAATATTGAAACTCAATTATGCTGGTATAATAAGTATTTATTATTATAATTAGGTATTAAAGTTGTAATCGGTTGGTTGGCGATTTGTAACACCCATCGAAAACTTACATAATATGAATAATAAAAATTTGCTAGACAAACAATATTTTATTATTTCATATTTTCCACAGACATTGATCTCATTCTGCTTTACCAAATAAGTATTTTGTTTTTTTGATCATTGTTTCGGAGAATAGTGGACTGTATAAGGAATTAAACTTATTCTACTTAGAAGCCTGGTAAATCAATAAACACGGTGCTTTAAATTTGATTGCCGGATTGACGGCCTACTATTTAAAATAATTACAAAATACTTCTAAAGAGGTAAAAGGGCACAATAAGTGCTGGCCAGCTAATGGGTAAAATATTTAAGATAAAAAACATACAATAATAATAAATAAATAAAAATACACAAATTGGTAGAGATAATATTATATGAACATAAAAACCGTGACGGCGGCTGCAGTCCCGGGTGGCGGGTGACGGTAGACGGTGCGCAGGTGAACAGATGGAGATAGACGGTGAACGATAAGTGGTGGACGGTAAGCGGTAACGCACTACACAAATTCTGGTGCTCGGTGTCACGGTAACAAAACTATTCTTTTTTTTTCGGTATGTGGTATCTTGGTAAGAATCGGTCGCGGTAGATTTTTGGATCACGGACCCGGTCGCGTCCGTTGTTCGCGGCACAGTAACGCGGGACGGAGAGAGTTGCGAGAGGGAGTATGTATTACGGCGAGTGGCGACTATCGGAACTCGGAAGCCCTATCAAGCCGTGATTACTGTGTGACGACGTCGTCGTCTAAACATACTGCCCCCGTTGAAGGTACCTAGTTACCTTCAAAAGTTAATGGCAAGCGACATAGTTTCACCGCGGGACGTTTTACAATTTTTCCCTCTGCGGTCCGGACGTTGGCAACTCGAACTATTTTATCTTCTCCTGGGAAGACTTCTACCACTCGTGCAGTTCTCCATGTGAGGGGCGGAGTTGGTTCCTTAATAAGCACAAGATCCCCTGGAGCCAGGCTGGTTTCAATTTTGTTCCATTTGGATTTGGTTTGGATAGTATGCAAGTATTCCTGCTGCCAACGTTCCCAAAAATGTTGTTGCAGTTGTTGGACGAGTTTCCAGCGTTGGTGAAGCCCCAGCTTTGGTAGAGTTTTAATTGTATCTGGCGTCGGCATGCTAACGATTGGTTCGAACGTTAAAAAATGTCCAGCGGTTAGTGGTTGTAGGTCGTTAGGATCTGATGACATGGACCCTAATGGACGTGAGTTTAATATTGCCTCAATTCGGTGAAAGACGGTGTTCAACTCTTCGTAGGTCAGAATTTGTTCTTTGATTGTACGATGTAAGAGGGTCTTAGCGGATTTTACTGCTGCCTCCCATAGACCACCCATATGTGGAGCAGCAGGTGGATTCAAATGCCATCTTATCTGGTGGGTCGCAAGACCTCTCTCTACTTCGTCGGACTTAATCAATTTCTGTATTACCTCCAAGTAGTTTTTCGCACCCACAAAATTAGTGCCGCAGTCACTATATATAGCTTCACAGCGACCACGTCGACTAATGAATCTATTAAGTGCTGATAGAAACAGGCACGTGGTTAGATCACTTACAAGTTCGAGGTGAACTGCTCGAGTTGCCATGCAGACAAATATACACAGGTAGCCTTTTGTGGCTTGGATTCGTCGTAACAAAGCGGCCTTTACCCAAAAAGGGCCTGCAAAATCAACTCCTACCTGCGCAAACGCTTTGATACTTGCAACACGAGCTCGAGGCAACGCTCCCATCATAGGGTTCATGGGGTTTGGCTTCGCCTGAAAACAGGGGATGCACTGGTGTAGTCGTTTACGTATGACGCTACGAGCCGATAAGATCCAATAATCCTGGTGTAGAATATTCTGCTTCGTTTGTGGTCCGGGATGACAATGAAGACTATGTACATAGTCGATCAATAAAATGGTTAACTGCGATTGTTTTGGGAGTAGTATCGGGTGTTTTGCCTCATAAGGTAAGTCAGAGTTCTTCAAGCGTCCTCCAACGCGGATGAGATCACTGTCGAGATCCAAGTATGCACCAAGCATGCGAAGTTTTGGTGTACACGGTCGATTTTGCCTAAGACAGTTCCAGTCTTCCGCGAAGTGTATATGCTGGACCCATCGTATTAACGCCTGTAACGCATCTCTCTTTTCTTGGGCACTTGGGCGATTGGTTGGGTATTGCACCCTGGGCGGCCTACCCAATCGTTGACGTAGTCGCAACCAATAAGCTGCTAAACGGAGAACTTTAGAAAGTTCGGATGACGCGTAAAGAATCGCACAATTTTCGTCTAGTTGTGTAGTTGTGGCACTGGTTATTAAGGTAATCAACTTTTCTTCAGATTGATTCTCGACAAGATCTGTATCTGACATATTTGCCTGTTGTGGCCAAGTATCCAATGGTTGTCGAAGAAATGTCGGACCATTCCACCACAGAGGATGGTCAACAATTTCGCTGGGTGTCAGACCACGTGATGCGCAATCTACGGGGTTCTGTGCCGATGGAACGTACCTCCATATCTTTTGTGAATTATGTTCTTGGATTCTCGCAACCCGATTACCGACAAAGGTTTTAAGATTAGCTGATGGGGTATTGATCCAGGCAAGAGTCACCATAGAGTCAGTCCAAGCATAGTACTGGTCAATCGGTAATGACTTCAGATTAGAACGGAGATAATCGATCGTACGTGCTAATAGTAGTGCTCCACAAAGTTCAAGTCGAGGAATCGACAGTTTCTTCTCCGGAGACACTTTAGATTTGCCCATTAATAAGTGAACTTGGATCTGACCGTTAAATGTGCGTGCTAGAAGGTAAGCAGCGGCGGCGTAGGCACTCTCCGAACTATCGCAAAATCCATGGAGTTCGTAGTTGGCATCCTCGACGGTAATCCGCCGGGCCACACACACTGAAGCAATAAAAGGCAACTCATCGTGATATCTTGTCCACGCCTCCTTGGCCACTACTGGCAGATCATCATCCCAACCAATTCTTAGGGCCCATAAATACTTCATCAACCGTTTTAGGTTGGTTATTACTGGCGTCAAAAGACCTATCGGGTCATAGATTCGAGCAATCTCGGACAAAATCGCTCGTTTACTATACCTCACCGGATTAGGTTGATACTGGTA